CGGCCGGCGCAGCTTGGCCGCGCGCGCCGGCTGCTTCGGGTTCAGCCTGGACCGGCTTGGCCGGCTGTGCTGGTGCACGAGCTTGGAGCTGGCAGAGATGTTTTGTAGAGAACAAGTCTGACAAGGAGCGGCTGAGGGATTGCTCAGTCTGGAGAAGAGGAGGCTGAGGGGGGACCTTCTCGCTCTCCACAGCTCCCTGACAGGAGGATGTAATGAGGGGGGTTTGGTCTCTTCTCCCAGGTCACCAGTGACAGGACGAGAGGCAATGGCCTCAAGTTGCATCAGGGGAGGTTTAGATTGGATGTTAGGAAAAATTTCTTTATGGAAAGAGCAGTCAGGCATTGGACCAGGCTGCCCAGGGCAGTGGGGGAGTCCCCATCCCTGGAGGGGTTCAAAAACCGTGTAGATGTGGCACTTGGGGACATGGTTTAGCAGGCATGGTGGGGTTGGGGTGATGGTTGGACTTGATGATCTCAGAGGTGTTTTCCAACTTTAATGATTGGGAATTCCGAGATTCTAAGTGCAGCCGGACAGGCTGATGCTCCTCCCAGGACCGGCACAGCCTGCGCTGGCACCATCCCATCGCAGGGACAGGGATTTGGAGGACTCACCTTCGGCCAGGAGGTGTGAGCAGCCCCTCTACCATGGCCCATTGTGTCCCAGCCAAGAGCTGCCCGACCCTGCCCGCAGCATCGATCACATCCATCGCTTCCTTGGAGCAGCTCCAGGGCTCTTTGTGGTGGCAGGAGCTGGTCATCACGTTGTGAACCCACAAACTGCCAGAAATGAATCCAATGGGTGTCACGGCCACCTCAGTCCTCAGCCTCAGGAGCCCCCGGACCACCCCTGTACCGCCTGGGCAAGCATGCTCGCAGCACCCCCACCGCACGTCTGAGCTCAAAGGGCGCGGGCAGCGAGCGGGCAGCGTGTCCAGGGTGCCCCATGCAGCTTGGCCATCTGCTCCACGGGGAGCAACAGCCCCATGCACCAGTACAGGCTGGGGCGGACCTGCTGGAGAACAGCTCTGCGGAGAGGGACCTGGGAGTGCTGGGGGACGACAAAGTGACCATGAGCCAGCAGTGTGCCCTGACTGCCAAGAAGGCCAATGGGATCCTGGGCTGCATCAAGAGGAGTGTGGGCAGCAGGGCTAGGGAAGTTCTCCTTCCCCTCTACTCTGCCCTGGTGAGGCCCCATCTGGAGTACTGTGTCCAGTGCTGGGCACCCCAGTTCAAGAAAGATGAAGAGCTACTGGAGAGAGTCCAGCGCAGGGCTACGAGGATGGTGAGGGGACTGGAGCATCTCTCCTACGAGGAAAGGCTGAGGGAGCTGGGCTTGTTCAGCCTGAAGAAGAGAAGGCTG